GGGGGGGGTTCAGCTTAAAGTAAGACAACAGGCCTCCAGCCTCCCCTCAGTTCAGGGTGGCAGCACAGATCCTGCGGACTGTGACAGGAAGGCGTTGGGCGCAGAGCCACTTGGCCTCCGAATCAGCCTAAATATGAGACGGACTGGGGGGGATGTGGGGGCTTAGGAGAGCGGCATACAAAGGTTCAAAGGATTTGCCCGAAAAATTTGATCTTATGGAGCCTAACTGTCCTCACAATGAGGCCCGAGAGCGCGTTGCGGAGCCAGGCAGCGCAGCGCAGACGCAGCGACTAACTTGAAGAATGAAGACACAAAAAAAAACATTTACATGATATTAGCTGGACTGCAAATGGCTTTTTTTATTTAGGAACCATCAGCTCATTTGATTAAAAGGTTTGGGAACCTTTGGGAACAAAAATCACAATCTGAAATTCAACATGTTTCAGTGTCTTTATAATACAATTAGAGACATGTTTATACAGATTCCTCCACTCCTGTTATTCGTGCAACTTTCCCACAGCTAATGAATACCAGAAGTGCTCTGTATGTATTTACAATTCATCTCTTCATTTATTGGGCTTGCAGGGTTTCATTTTGTGCCTTTCTGCAAGCCAGTGCTCCCATTAAGGAAGGATAAAGTTTTGATCTTGAGCGGAGACATGTAAATATCTCGAGAGTACCCCTGGATAATTGATGGTGTGATGAAATGGGACTCGGCACACTGTGGACTGGAAGCAACGGCCTCCTTAATCTACTGTGTTTTACATTTTAGGCACTTCATCTTAAGATGCTTACAGAGCTTTCAGGGGCTGTTACTGTGGACCAAAAGCCTCACATCATTTTCTGCTTTTGTGACCACACGGAGAAGCTGATTGACAGCAGTCAGGTGAAGAAGATTAGAGACATTCATCAGGCCTGAACCGCCTGAACTCTTGAGAGGAGCCGACCCAGAAAAATTGAGATTGACAGTTAGCGGGAAATCAGAGCGTAAGAGAACACAGAGTCCAGTAGATGAACTTGAGATTTCGTGGCTGAAACAGAATAAGGGTTCTTACCAGTAAAATACAAACCAGATATCATAAAAATGTCCATGAATTGGCTGCAGAATATCAAAGATTACTCCAGTGTTTAGAGACTTGCCGATCAGAGCAGGCAAAGCGAGCCTCCACTCGCATTACCTCATCCATCACGAGACGAGGTAATCTCTGAATCAGTACTCAGCAAGTTTGGCGCTGAGATGACACGCTGCTGCACGAAAATCAAGAACTACAAGTGCCTACACAATGAAAACAAAAGGTTAAAAGCTGAGCCGCAGGTGCAGATTTTGCAGGTTCATTCGTCGACACACATTCGATCAAACTGCTAAAACTGAACTGTCGGGATCAAAGAGGCAAGTGTCACATGAATGCGCTGGCGGCTGTTGGGGAGTGGCCGCATTACAATGAGATCGAGGAGGACAGTTAATTGAGGTTTGAGAGGGAATTAATTTGTCACAGACGACCGGCCGCATTGTCTGAGATGGTAATGAGGAGATGGTGGATTCCTCCCATGAACTGCAGGATGAGATAAACTCTGAGACGATTTTAGACTCTGGTACCGATGCGAAGCGGTCGGAGAGAGAGTCAAGAAACATGCCATATTGACAATAAAGGGACGCGTCGAGGGAGAAAACACAGCAGTTGTTTTAAGCGGCTCGACGTCACATCAGGCAAATATTTAGGTTTTGATTTCTTTCTGGTGACAAATGTTTAGCGAGGAATAACAGACAGATAAATAAAACACACTGTGACTGCGATTGTGTAACATTCTTCCACCGTGGCTTCCCAAAAGCAATTTAGGCTGAAATACGTTTCATAAAACGCTTTTTAAAGCTCTAATCTGTAACATTTTCTCATTAAACAGTGTATAAACTCTAACTCTATGTTCTATATGGAGTTGACGTGTGTTCTTACATTGTCCCAAATGTTTAGAACAAAGTTCAAACTCTGAGAAATCTGTCATTTTATT